AAAAAAAAAAAAAAAAAAAAAAGCGTGTGGTGATGTCACGACTATGCTTCGGTTCCAGTTGACACAGATTTGTTCTCCACGCTCCTGTTCTCCCAAAGTCCATGCTTCCCAAGAACGGACTTGGCGAGAACAGGCGTCCATACTCTACATTCTTGTGAAACGTTCAGTATCTCCTCTCCATTTCCAGCCCATCAAGCTTAGCTACTTACTCCAGTTCCTCAAAGTCCACGTCGCTGTTGTCCATTGCACTAGAGGGGTTGGGGGCGGGGCTGTCGGAGGACGTGGACATGGTTCGCATGCGGTGGTTCTGCTGGTATCGCAGGGAACGCTGGCGAATGCTGTCCCGTCTGGACAGGTACTGGATCATCCTCTGAGCATAGTACGCTGCTGGAGAAAGTCTGCGGAGCAAAGAAAGAAGCTTCAGGTCGCAAACAGCCAATCAGAGCCGGATCCTGTGTCACAACTGTGTGGTGGCGTACCTGGCCGGGTCTGGGTAGATGGGGTGGTCTCTGGATCCGGACATGTCGTACCGAGACAGCGACAGCAGGGAGGATTCCAGCAGCCGCCTGTTGGGGGCGGAGCATAGAATGATACGTTTCATTTAGGTTCTCATCTGCAGACCTAAGCTATGATTTATCAGGCTGTGATCAATAAAAACAAACCGTTCAATTCCACTTTATATAAAAAAATAAATCCTCATAAGCGTCTGATTTCACTGCGCTGCTGAACCACAACTATACATGGAGAGCGGTCACACAGAAAAGATGGGCCTATGAGCGCCTCTGACCGAAGAGCTCGACTCCTGGTCCTGATGATTGACAGGGTAGATCCAAACCCAGCTGCTGAAAACATGGGGGAGTGGCGGCCTAGTGGTTAGAGCGGCGCACTTGGTCCCCAGAGGTTCTGAGTTCAAGCCCCATTCCTGCAGACTGCCACTCTGGGTCCCTGAGCAAGACCCTTAGCCCCACACTGCTCCTGGGGAGCTGGTGTGAGATGAATAAAGTTCAATTATTATTATTTTGATGCAGCCGTGATCACTGTGTGTGATGCTGCTGCTCTGCAGGAGGAACGCCACAGTTCCAGAGCCATGATGGTGATGATCGGTGTGCTGAGCTCGGCTCTGGATCTACGTTCATCTCTGTGGTTCAGATTCAGCCAATCGGCATTCACCAATTCACTGGTGGGTTCAGCAGCCAAAAGATCACAGCACAGACGCACAGTGCCTTTCCATCCAACCTGCTAAAAGGAATAGTACACCCAAAACATGATTAGCCTTCATTTTCTACTCACCCCCATGCTGAACAACACTCTGGAGTACTTTTTTGATATCTCAAATGCATCTGGAGATCTGGGAGGCTTCTTGCTGTCTGCTGACATTCAAATAATGGAGGTCTATGGCGCCCGAGGCAGAAAGGTCCATAAAAGTCCACAAAAAACGTGTCAATATTCCTCCATACTGCTCGTCCAATGTATTCCAAGTGTCCTGAGTGGGTAGCGTCCATAATTTACTCGAAACGAAGTCATTTAGAATGTTTTTAGAGCATAAACAGTAGTGTATAGGATTTCCTAAAAGCGCGTTCACGACGCTACGGAAACCGCGGCAGACCAAACCAGATGAAAGTGCGCATTCAGCTCGGCAAAGAACTCATGCTCTTCCTCAACACTGAAGTCCTCAGACATTTTTCTTTCGTTGTTTCTTTCTTTGCACAGGTAAACAGCACATTTCTTCTTCTACGCTTGCATTATCGGCAGAGCAGACGCTGAATGCGCACTTTCATCTGGTTTGGTCTGCCGCGGTTTCCGTAGACTCGTGAACTCGCTTTTAGGAAATCCTATACACTACTGTTTATGCTCTAAAAACATTCTAAATGACTTCGTTTCGAGTAAATTCTGGACGCTACCCACTCAGGACACTTGGAATACATTGGACGAGCAGTATGGAGGAATATTGACACGTTTTTTGTGGACTTTTATGGACCTTTCTGTCTCGGGCGCCATAGACCTCCATTATTTGAATGTCAGCAGACAGCAAGAAGCCTCCCAGATCTCCAGATGCATTTGAGATATCAAAAAAGTACTCCAGAGTGTTGTTCAGCATGGGGGTGAGTAGAAAATGAAGGCTAATCATGTTTTGGGGGTACTATTCCTTTAACATTATTCATGTTTGGTTGATTGTTTCTTTTTTTTTGTTCAAATGGAGAATTGTGTAACATTTGTTATCATTTTCATTTATAATCATATAAATAGAGAAAAAATTGTCCCCAAAATATCGGTAGCACATCAGGAGGATCGGTTAGATTGATTCAATCTAAAACTCCTTTATGGGTCAATCTCTATTTTGGGGTTTATTAAAGATCCAATATAATAATTCAGAGATCAGGAAACATCTAAACATAATAAACTGATGTAATCCCCTGGTTTTGCACAAATGTAATCTTAGTTAGCTTGGTTGGCAGCTACTCAGGATTTTTAATTTCTAGTTCCTGTTGGTTCTTTTTTTTAGCTCACGGTTTGATAAATCCAGTTATCTTAGCAGCGATCTCATTACATCTTTGAGATCTGGACAGAAACCAGACTTGGATTTAATTACTCTTATTTGTGTTTTGATGGCCTTAAATTAACTCTGAGACGCCGTACCTCCGCAGCGAGTCCTCATCAGGGGGGTCAACAGGCATTTCTTGGCTTAAGGCCTCTGGTGGCTCGGCGGTCCGGCTGCTGGTTGCCTGCCGGTACACCCTCTCCCACTGCGCCGTGTCCTGGTTGTAGACCAGGCCCACCGTCTGCTCGGTGGCCTGGCTGGGAGGAGGGGCCAGAGGGAAGGCCACGGTTCCGGCCCCCGCAGGAGGCAGAGGCGGCTGCTCGATGGGCTCAGGAACCGCCCTCCTCTCCAGGTTCTGAGCTTCTAGCGTCCGCCTGCTGTCATCCGGCTGCCAAGGTGCTGCTGGGGAGGGGAAGGAAGAGGAAGAGGAGGGCGCATCCAGCGAGGAGGAAGAGGAGGTGGAGGAGGTTTGGTGCGTGCGCTCCCAGCGCTGTGAGTCCTGATTAAAAGTCAGCAGGTTGTGGCAGGCCCGGCAGCGGTTCAAGTGGCCCCTGGAGGCCGGGGGAGGGACGTTGTTCTCCAAGCTGCTGGAGGCGGCGGCGGGCGGGGCGGGAGGCTGGTAATGGATGATGGTTGGGGAGGAAGAGGAGGATGAGGAGGGCTGGCTCGGCCTCTCTGTGTCCATGTTGTTGTTCAGCAGTTCCTGGCCGGGCTCCTGGTTCCCGTCGGCTATGCTGCCCCCCAGTGACGGGTCGATGTCGATGCGGTCGATCTCCAGGAAGTAACGGCTCAGGTTGCACTGCAGGACGTTCCGGAAGGAGGCCGAGGAGCTCCGAGAGCCATCCCAGAACGGGTGGTGGCCGCTGCTGGTGCCGGCCGACTCCCGGGGCCCCGTGTCCCCCTGCTGGGAGAAACCTCGGCCCTCGGAGGCAGAGGTGTAGAGCGGGGACTGAGACGAGCCGTCCTGCTGCCGCAGCACCGACAGCAGGCTGACCGAGGAGGAGGAGGAAGTCCGAGGAGGCAGCATGGACGGACCCACCCCTACTTCTCTCATGTTCAACAGGCTGCGGGTCCAGTCTGGGCTGGGCCTGGGGGCCGACAGAGGCTCCAAGATATTTGGCATGATGGGGTTCAGGGAGGCGCCGGCGCTGTAGTAGACGGAGGTGAAGGCTGAGGGCCGCTCTGTGGGCTGCCTGGGCTCCGTGCGTGCCGAGGAGAAGGTGGAGGCGGTGGAGAGAGGGGGGGTCTCCGACGAGACTCTGGGGTCTGGCGTAGCCGTCGTTGAGGCGCCGGCGGGCATCGCGCGCTTCCGGCTGACAGAGCAGCGAGTGCACACGCACAGCATGCCCAGGTGCTGGGTGCAACCTGGAATGGAGGCTCCGCCCGCCGTACTGGGGGCCTCGGCGGCACTACCACCGTCGCTCGGAGGCCGTGGCGGCAGCTGCTGCTGCTGCTCGGCGCCCACGCTGTGCCCCGCAGAGCGGGAGGACGACAGGATGTGCAGGAAGTTGTGGAGGATCGGCGTCCGGCGAACTGGCTGGGAAGGCAGGAAGGAACGCTGGCGGAAGTGAGGCATCTCCACGCTGTCCATGGGAACCTCGGAGTCGTCATCATTCTGCGGAAAAAGGAAAGAACTGAGAACAGACGGAACCAGCTGCTAATGGACGCTTCAGCCAGGAGACGCGCCCTGTGGTGATCACCTGCACGCCGATCTACATCTGTTCAGCCCGTGATGAAGGAGCTAAAGTTGTAGTTGTTGTTTTACATCTTTACATCCACACATTTTTATTTAGATTTTATTTTTTCAGGCTATATTTTTTTTATTTCTTATTTGTCAGATTAAGTTTTATAAATGTCATTATTTTCAAAAAATGTATTCCAGATCAGATTCTCTTCATTCTAGGGGCGGGGCTTTGCTCTGGAGTGAAGACGCTTTTCTATTGATCGGCTG